GTTAAAACCTAATTAAATTCTATAAATTGGACTTAATAAGGCTCAATAAAGTCATATTACAGTTAATAAATTGTTAATATAAACAAATTAAAAGGTGAAAGACCTTTGCTCTGTTTATAACAGCACATATAAAGTTTTATATGGATTCTTTATTAAATTTTTATAAAGAATTTATAAAACTTTTATTAAATTCCTTATTTGAAACATATTCATTTTTTTTCACGGGATTTCGTTTGGTGGAAATTTGTTATCCATTTTAAATAATGAGTAATACTTCTAACTTTTATAACTCGTTGGGCATTTTATAGAGGGAAAGCCTGTTTGATAATTAATATTAGAATGGGAAGAATGCCTATATTTTTCGATATCTAATTTTCCTTGTTTAGTCATTTGAAATTGCTTCATATTCATTGACTCAGTAATTACTAGCATACAAATTGCGCCATAAGAGATATCCGATTTCTACAAATAAAAATTGCAGACTTTCCGCTTTTCCGTGCCGATTGCTTTCACGCGTGGGTAATTTTTCCTCGCCGCGGTAATGCAAATCTCAAACTTGCTCCTCTCGCGTTTGTTCCTCTTCCACGCTTTCTATTACTTTCTATCGTGTTGAGGATCTTTCGCGTGCGTCCGCTCGCCACCGCCGCCGCAGCCGGACAGATATACCGGCGTTAAATAATTTCCGCGCGGGGACGGAAAGTACTTTAAGCCGGCGCTATCTGCAGGTTGCGCCAACAAAAGAACGAGAGGAATCGTTCGACAAGAAACCGATGAAGGGTTTATCTTAATCCACGGTTCACCGAGCAGACGAGCTCCTCGCCAATACCCCTGGGCCACCCCTTTCATCGTTTATGCCCGCCCTCTCGCACGTAACCGATCACACTTCGCTTGTTTTACTAGATATTTTTTGTTATCTGGACCACTTATAATCGTGGCCGCGTTTGTAACGAGCCGGATAGTACAATTATACCGGAAGCTCCTATTTAATCGCATTGTTTTTATTTGAATCAATCATTTCTTTCTTTCGTCTATTTTCTGCCGCTTTTAATATATTTCTATTGTGTTCGAGATATGTTTATTATACTTGAATGTTTCTCGAATTTGGATACATTATTCTTTGTCGCGATTTACTTAACAGAAACCTCGAGAAACATGTTAGGCAACGAGGGGTAAACCGCTGAGGGCATTGTGGTGTACACAGTACAAATAAAATGTTAATGTTAACATTTTTTACATATCCCTAAGCTAAAATAACATTTATCGCTCGTCTTACTTTTTCACAAATTATAAATGTTAATTAATCAACACTATACTTCACATTTATGTTTGTGTTCTTTCAACCGTGAGTGTGATGTAATAAAAATGACGTAAAAAAAACAGCCAGGATAAGTAAACTGTACGAATGGTTACAAATCAGAATAGTTCAAATAATTTTTAAGAAATGTCGGTATTACATGTTTTGATTGATTTTGTGAAATATGTAGTTGTGTTAAAAGAACTCAAAATAATATTCAATTTTTAAATAACACACGTAAAGCGTCAAGTTATTATGTTAACATAAATATAACACATAAAAGTGTTACGAAAATAATAATATATACGTTTTATGTTAATTTTACATTGAAGTAAGAATCAAGTCTTGGTAACACAAGAAATTGTTAACATTTGAATACACGTTTTTTTTTACTGTGTACCGATTTGCGGCATTACTGGGCATTTTTTGGGGCATTAAGCTTTGCTGGGGCATTGCAAAGATAAAATAAGATAAAGCAATGCCCACTGGGCATTAGTAGGCATTGGTGCACATAATTTTGGCCAGAGGTTTACCCCTCGTTAGGCAATTGAAACGACATTGCAGCCGCGATAACACTAATAGCGGTGTTTCCGAGAGCTCGCGGGGAAAAAGAAACCTGCTTAAATGTTCTGCATCGGACCACTTCCGGAGACCTCCGATTCTGCATCCTGGGTAAAAACACTTAACGAAGTTATTGGACGTCTTCGGGCCGGCCGCAGGATACCGTTAACAAAAACGCGGAACGTCGGCGAGCGACGAAGAAGCGAGCGATGGCGGCTTGAAATAGAACGAGCCGGCCGGTTGGTCGATAGTCTCGCGCGAGATCGGTTGACGTTTTCCTGGAACGTTACCATTTCACACTCGCGGGTGGCAGAGACAAAAATCCAGGAGAGGGAAAGTCTGACGAATCGATTCGAAAGGATGTCATCGTAGTCGAGACTGTGGATGGGCGCAAACACCTGTAACACCGTGTTCGCGGCGTCACGTGCCCGGGTGTTGCCGTGACGAAAGTCCCGATGATCGTGCAAAAACCCCGGCACGGGATAAAAAGCCGATCGGGCTCGCGCTGTTCGGGAGCCTGGGGGTTCCCCGCCGGTGAGCCGCGCCATGAGAAACGTTAAAGCGAGAATTTGTCATTAGATCGTGAGATTTGCGGTTAGATGATGCGCAATCCGATATAGTTCTTGCCTCGGTGATTCTTAGTCAATCGTTTATCGCTTTTCTCGCCGTTGTAGCGTAAATCGATTATAGTTGGCTCGCTATTTTTCGTCCGCGCGAAACGATATTGTTACGCCAAGAGGTAGGGTTTACCAGTGATATTTAATTCTCAGCTTATGCAGGACCGACCGACGACGACTTCATCTCGCCTAAGTGACTCGAAGAGTGTCCCATCCCGCGGTCTGTCGAGCGACCAGGGAACCTCCGTGGTGCACACGTTAAGTACTCCCGGATCGGACAAGCGTGCGCATACTCGATTCTCTTGATACACAGTCAGCATGACTCCGCGATCCGCACCCTCGACCACCGACGGTGTCCCGCTGACTATTTATCTTGTTACATCGAAGTGATCCGATTCTAACAGGAGATCAATGACGGCCGCCGACCACCGCGGCTACCCGGCTTCTTGTTGCGTGCGATTCCTCGCGGAAATGTAACGACGATACAAGAAGCTTTATCGTATCAATTGAAAAGCGCAGCCTCGCTGTCTTGTATTTCCTGCAAGAGAAAGAATATGTTATTTAATTATATAACCTGTCACATGAGATTAAACAAGCCAAGATAAACTACTATACCACAGTGTGACTTAAGGCTTTCTCTTTGTATTCTGATTTGAGGCTGCGGGTTGCAAAGTGGAGATGATTGAATTAAATTTAGTTAATCGCGGAATATGTATAAAATGCATCTCGTTCCTTTCGCTCGACGAGCAATCGAATATAACGCAATCGATAACGCCGATGGCTATGAATCAATAATGCAGGAACGAACTTTCCGTAGCGGCCATATAACGTGCTAGTGGACACTTAAGCGAGGCGACAGAGGCACGTCTCGGGCCATGTGTTACCTAATAATTGCGTTCGGTAGTCGCCCAACAAATATTTATTGCTACTTACCGGTCAGTGAATGTAAACGGGTCGGGCCGCTCTAATGGAGAACACCTAATTTCGCCCACGCGGTCGCGATCAAGCCGCTTCGTGTCTGAGAAAATTAATTCGATTCGTAGGTCCATTCTCTGATAATAACGTCGTCGGAGATATTGTCGTGAGTCATCACTGTGGCCACTCTGAAATATATACGAAAGGTGTATTATGGCAATCACGCGTTATGCAATCAATTTTTGTCATGCTTCGAAAGTTGTTTGCAGTAGGAACGATAATTTTTAACGTAATAAGTTTTCCGTATTAAGTTTCCTCCGTATCTTATTAATATCAGCTGTTTATTCGCGATGCCGTGAGCGAAGCATGACGTGCCGCATTGACTTCAATTATCGACGAGACCACGAGACAATTTCCTTCGGACGCTAATCAACCAATAGCGCCAGGGAAAAGTACACGACGAGTTAGGACAATATGGATAAACGACGACGAAAATGTTAGGGCGGACAGTAGCAAGAACCGGAACGCATGTCAACTCGTCATCGTCGCCGAAATGTCAGTAGGTGTTTGGCCAGGTCGCTAATGTAATATTGTTTGCAGGAGTATCGGATGTAGACAGCGAGTAACTCGGGAAAAATCGTTAAGAAAGCCTCTGAAGCTTACCAGCCAGTGCTGTATTTCTAATCTTTAAAAGGTAAAAATATTATGTAGGACATTCTCACGGAATATACTTTGTGGATAATAGGTACATTTGTACGATATAATTTTACGTTTGATACAATATATATTTTTTTTAACTCAAAACTTTGATAGTAAAACTGAAAAAGATACCAGAGTCGAAATTTTGGCCCTATATGTTGAACCTTTAATTCTATTATATGGTAGGACCTAAGACAGTAAAAGAGGTCGAACTGCAAGTACAAAATTTACTCCTACTTTAAAACTGATAGTGTCGGCACTTTCTACCTTTGCCAATTTAGCATTAAAGTAGGTCCTTTTAAGTAGGAGCTAAAGTAAATTTTTAGAATTAAAGATTCAAGGAAGGTGTAAAATAATATAACGTCATCAAAGTAGGTTATTGCTGATTTATGTAGGTGTATAGATCAGCTAAGTAGGTGTAAATTATCAGTAAAAGTGTATAAATCAAAATAGTACCCAAATTTCGACTCGGGTAATTGGATAAATGTCTATAATGATGAATATAATGATCATTTCAATAATTATCGTGCATGATACTTTGTGGCCGTGTTACTGAACGCCGTAAACTGCAACCTGGCGGAGTCGGGGAATTGCGTTTTCCGCGGACGTTGCCGTATTCCCCCGCTGTGCTCATCGTTCCATTTAACTTACACGGCTACGATATGTTCCGATTAATCGCAGGTTACACCGGCGCGAATTAACTGATCGTTCGCGGTTGGCCCGAGCGCGCAACATCACTCGCGCTGTACCGGCCGACGCAACCGTCTCGCGTCGCATCTCGCGCGCTGGAGGCATCGCGAATCAGGCATAACACGTGGCAATCGTAAATATAATCAACCAAGTGGGGAGCGTGCACCGGGCATAAATTGCTCCTGCATTAACGAGATCCGAACGGGCGTGTGCAACATTCCGTCGAGCATGCGTTTCCCCGATTCCAAAGAAAAGGAGCGACGGCTCGTTAACCGCTATTGAGCATGTGCTTATGTCAAACCTGTTTCTGTACCTGCGCTAATTGCAGGGTTCATTAAACGAGTAACTTTGTCCCGATACTGACAGTAGTCGAGTTACGCCTGCACAGTTGCACTTGAGCCGAAGTGTCAAGCGTACGATTATTCGTATATTACTTCGTCGTCATATATAATAGTTGCCTTTGTTATGGAGAGATGCGTTGTTAAATGATCATTTATTTCACAAAATAAATAATGAAAAACGGATATGATACGTCCGAGATAATGTCCTGTTGTAATTTACAGTTGAGAAATATTTCTTTGCTAAATCTGTTATGATGAAAGAGAGAGAATTATAGACTAGAGTTTTAATACTTTCGTACACGGAAAGACCGGCTAAGGCAAAAAATAACTAAAATAAAAATGTTGCCGTATAAATAGTAGGGGCATCTACATTGTTTTGTGTTGCAACGTTCACTAAGTTTGCTGCACAAAACGCATATCGTTGTCTCTACTACTTATGATACCAATGCGGGTATGACAACCACAGATATAGCTCCAAATATAACTGTTTATTGGGGTTGTGCCAAAACCCTAATTAGACATGTGGTAACTATATCGGTCTCTCCGTGTACTGGGTTGATAATATATACAGTTATACATATATTTATGGAGGCATAGAAGCGTATCAATCGCGAAAGAAAATCGCTTCCTCGCTTCCTAACAAATATGTTGGCTTTAATTACGATACTGACGCGCATGACAGACATTTTACTTCTCTTGACCGTCAGCTATATTGCAGCACGATATATATTTCCGTTTAAGATACTCAGATGATCTTGATAGTCTCGAAAACATGCTTTCGATACGTCTAGCCGCGCTCGCGTTGCGTGTTTCCGCGTGTTGATTCATGCCGTAAAATTATAATTACGCAAATGTCGACGGATGTGATCGAGACGATCGAAATGTCATGCGCTGCACAGGCATCAGAGGCAGACTCGAGTATATTGTTTGGAAAAAGGACCCGCGGCGCGGGTGTTTAAATTTGCTTGTAACAGCGATACTTACCGGGAGCACTTTCGTGACTCGAGCACCTCCGTCGATCGCGTTAAACCCGTGAACTGCAGCATTGATCAACATCGGCGACGGATTCTCGTCACGGCGCGATCACGAGGTCGTTTCTTCTGTTCACCGGCCAGTTAATGGCTCCGTTTCTTTCCTATGCCGATCCGTCATTGACTTCCGAACGTGTCCGCGGCCAACCGTTTCGCGACGCCGTAACTCGTGCCAATCGACGGCAGATTTGCGTGACCGTGACGCAAAATGCACCACGGTGCCTCCCACTTTGTTCGATTTTTGCGGCGCGGCATTTTAATGTCTCCTCGCAGAGCACGGTGATTCAGCCATCGTTTCGTTCTCTGTAATTTATCGTCTCGCCGACCAGTCGCGTCCTTCCACGCCGTCGCTCTCATAGTTCGCACGTGCTGTGGGTAAAACCAAATGCTGCGCGTTAATCCATAAGCCCATTAATTATATTCTATAAAAATAGTCTATTCTAGTGATTTTTTAATATCGATATATTTTTGATAAATATTATATGAAATTATTTTATTCGCGTTTGTTTATTTTTATTTATTTTAAATCATAAATATCTAAAGAATTTTTGCCTTAAAATTTGTTAATATATAAGAAGATTGCGTCTAGGAAAAGAATTATTGTATGAAATTATTTTATTATTTTTATTCATATAATTATATGAAATTATTTTATTCGCGTTGATTTATTTTTATTTATTTTAAATCATAAATATCTAAAGGATTTTTGCCTTAAAATTTGTTAATATATAAGAAGATTACGTCTGGGAAAAGAATTATTGTAGGCATCAAACGATACATTTACTAAATTTATAGCATGATTGTTGTGCATAAAGCAGATAATCAATTATTTACGAAAAAGCGAGTCAAACGTACATAAAAACCGAAATTGCTTCTCGATCGAAGTCATTGACCGTTAAGAATTAAATTACCACGTAATTTATAATTGTGTCTAGCTATTAATTACGATCTTGTAGATTGGGAATCGCTGACTTAGGCGAATCAAATAAATACAAGACAACAGTCACTTTCGAATGACTTTTATCAATCTGTGCTATTTTCAATTTATATGATAGATCTGTTTTGATAGAATTTATAATGACCAGCGTATAACAGCAAAAATAATATGGAAATAACAATTTTATTTAGTTTCATATTATATTATGTTTAAATTTCACATTGAACGAACGTTGTATTAACAATATAGTAAATGTTCTTTTTATAAAAGTTAAACAGGAGAATTTCTGAGTTTAAAGAAGAAATTAAAAATATATTAAAATATTTTTTTAATTGTGTGTTAATATTTTTTTAAAATAAGCGTACAACTAAAATCAGCTTAACAGAAATTAATAAACCTTTCACATTTCCAGTATGTGAATGCATCATGAGCTTATCTTTGATTTAATTACTTCTCACAGACACTTCTGACCGGACACACTTAATATGCGTTAGTCTTTTATCTTTCATTAATTTGTCTAGCAATTATTCAAATGACTGCGTGAATAATTACGCAGCACTCGCTCAGTTTACCATGATAAATGGTCTAGCCGCGATAATTATCTTAGTTTTGATTAACATTTGATTAACCATTGATTATTCAATTACGAAAAAATATTTTGTTACGCTCAATTGAGCCCTCATGCAGGTATAATAAAACAGTCGTTAAGTAATGGCCTGTTGGTATAAAAACAGGTTAATACGTGTCAATATTTAATTATTATATAGAATACACGTGGGTTTGAGCTAATTAACGTGTCTTAATTAAAAATTAAGAAAACGGATATTTTGGAAATAACTGTTTAGCTTTTATATTTAATTGATTACTTAAAACGGTGACAGGTAGATAACTTTTGGACTTTTCAATTATTTGCATTATTTGTGATCTCGAGGTCCACCGAAGAGACACAGTTGTCTTGGAATAATTTCGATATCATAAATAACAATTGTACGGATTTCCGGGTGGACCTCCGTTCTCCACAAGAAACCGCAGAGACTCGGCAGGAAAGATGATTGGCGACCGGGAGGGAGAAACGAGTTTATCCGAGTGGAGCCGCCCGCCCCACAACCCCCCGCTGTCGAACGCGCGATGGGAATAAAATGTGAAACTGTAAATTGTGCGTGGAAAGAATCGGTCCCTGGGCGGTCGTGGCGGTCGACCATGCTTTTCGTGGAGTAGCCGGGGGGGGGGGGGAGGTGGAATGGCGGATGGGGGTGGAAGGACTGGACGGATGGCGGGAAGCAGCACGAGAACGGATCGGTTCTCGCTCGAGCACGGCGAGGATTTAAATGCGCGTTCGGGCGTGCGAGACGGAGGGTGTATCTCTCGTAGATCCGGGGGTTGGAAATTTGTTAGGTTACGTCAGACTATCACTCCCTAGTGAATATGAAAAAAGAATTCCTCACGAAGCTTTCAAGGGTCGACTATGGTTGGAGGTGATGTGTCGGTGTTCTTGCCGACACCCCTTGCCCCCGTAAGAGAGCGGCCGGTTCGTGGGGATCGAGGTGATGGTTGTACGAGGAGAAGCTGGTGGCCGGAGGGTAGGAGGGATGTAACACGGTGCCAGGAATATAAAGCGGGGGATAAAGGAGATGGCGGTCACATATGCGACTCGTAAAAGCTCTTCTGAAAAGCTGCATCCGTTCTGCCACCGTCCTGCCCCCTTTTTCCTCTTTTTTTCACGGCGATTCCGCCGGAGGAAGAACCCGGCCTCCTCCATTCCAACGACGACATGGCTTTCGCGCTTTCAACGTCGCGATTGACCACAAAATTTGGCTCTTATAATTTAACGTGAGGTGGTACGAAAAATATTCATGTATTAAGATGGAATGCTGCAGTCCGTATCGTAAAGTTTGCCTATTCTCATGTCTTACCGACAATGTGTTATATACATATAAAAATATACCATATATTAAATATAGAAATAATCGATAACATTTCACATTTCGAAAAGCGAGAAGTACAATGTTTTTATAGCTTGTGATATCGTATTTTCTTTTTGTGTTAAGAATAATTTTGATCGTCGCCATTTCTAAGATGTTAAGTTAAGAAAAAAGAAAGAGAAAGCAAATTAGCATATTATGCAGCATGTCGCATACCAATAAAACGTGACCACATAGCCACAGGTCAGATCTCTGAGAGCATAGCGACATTGCGTTTCTATGGGAACGGCTTACCCCGGTTATCTCCCGATACCGGCGAATATTAAGAAATGCCGTTCTCGAGCGGCATTTCCGTACATTTGCGGACGGAAAATGAGCCATTCGTTTGCCGATCGGAATGAGGTACTGTCTATGCATGGCACGGACACGCCACCATCCGACCGTCCCATAAATAATCGTCCTCCTCTTTTAGCCTAAACCTCTTTGCTCTCTTTTCGGTCTCAACCCTCCTTTTTCCTTTCATCGCCCTCTCGCTTTCTTCCCCTCCCTGCCTCGATGCGTGCGTATTCGAGGATATTGCACGAGCTTCTCAGGATAAGAAAGATACATACTCAGAATATGGCAATGTAAGAAACATAATGGGACCAATGTATGGGGATGCGTAATTATACAAGACACATTATGAAAGGAATTCGTTATGGAAAAAACTAAAGTTATTTTTTTCATCGTTGCATTTTTCTTTCGTGTAACTCTTATTTTCTATAAACATATACAAACAATTCATACATGCAATCTACAAAATTAACACTTTCACCATTTAATCAAAGAAGAACAAGGAAATTGTTTTAGATGATCGTCAATATACCTTGTTAAAAAATTGATGTATCATCAGCAAGTATAAAAATCTCTTTTTTTGAAACCTCAAAAAAAATTACACATGCTTGCTGTACAAGAAGGAGACGTATATTTTGCAACGTTTACTTCAAGCATCGCTCTCTTTCTCTTGCGCCATTCTTTTAGCTTCCAGACATAAATGGCGAGTTACAAAAAACACCTCGTTTTGAATGCGACTGCTTTTTGCGGTAGTACTGACCAACGCTTCCAGACAATTCTTGGCGGGTTTGTCGATCGTTTAATCGTCCATTTCCACCTGTCAGCCCGAGTCGATGGAAGCACAAAAGCGATCTCTATCCTGAGGAGAAACTCTCGCAAGAAAGCGAGGCAACATTCGGCTAGGAGGGTTGCGGGAATGGGCAGCGAGGGAAGAGGATGTGCGGGCAGGGCAAGAAGAAGTCTGACATTCGAGGAGTCGACAAAGATTATGAAGCGCATACTGCGACGAATAAAAATGGTTTCCGCGGCGGGGGAGAAGCGGAAAACAGAGACATTGTTCGTTACGGGGAGTTCCTGGATGATGCTCCGTGGGAGAACAAGAGAAAGCATAGAGTTGCGCTAACGATAAATGTCCTGCGTTTATCGCATAACGTACAACCCTGCGTAATGGTTTTTCTTAACTTATTTTCATTCTTTTTACGCAGTAAATTAAAATCTTATTATTGTTGATTTTGTTCGAGTACAAAGAAAAGTGCAGGAAAATTAGCGACGACACTTTTTAAAATTCTACTTAAGAATTTTATATTTATTATTTATCCTTTCATTCTTTTTATTTATGTTCTATTAAAATTCTGTTACATACTTTACATAAAAATATGAAAACTGTCAAGATTATTTTCACTCTTTAATCGGAGATCTTCAAGTGACTGTTACGTTATTGTACACCACGTATTTAGCATCAACGCGTAATGCGTCGAGAGCGGTACGAAATTGATTATAATTGCAATCCAGGCTACGCACAGGGAGAATGAATCAGGGTATACGAAAAAAAAAATGTGAAATGCAAATGACATGCAAGATTCACGCAGATTGTGGAAAGCAGATAATGGATCCTCCTTCTGAGCGATGCTCGCCAAGTGGAAAGCTTAAAATAATTAATCGTACTTAACGGTAGTGACTCAACGAGATTTAAGCCAGTAAAACGCGTTCCGCTTCCTACGCGCCAGCGCGTTGGATTACGGCAAAAATAAATAATATTTTTTATGGTGCAGGAAATTGCCATCCCACTATAATAAGTAGGCATCAAAGATGATGATTGTTAATCAAGGAACCAAATTACCAGCGGGAATATCTTGACGATCTTACGCATCCATGTATGATGCTGTAATTGTAGAGTATTCTAATGCGCACTGCATAGTATTCCACAACGTGAATTCGGTATTCATAAGCGCTTGCACTCTCAAAAGAACGGAGAGATTCATATTGCACTTTGATACACATCAGAATGCATATTCTAACCACTGCAACCTGTAGAGCTAATAAATACGTTGAAATGGCTCTAACTGATATTTCCAGCAAAATGAAACTGTGATCGATCCGTGGTCATGGTGGCGCAAAACTGCGATTACGGAGAAGGAAGGGGAAGAGATGCGAGCTTGAATGACGCCAAGACCACG